AATAAAAAAATTAAAACTTAGTTTGTTACTCGACTAGTTTTAACTTCCAAAGTGATATGGCACACTGTACATGTTTAGACTTTGTCAAAAGACAACATAATCGGAATGACTGACACATCGACAACACATCTATAGAGAAGATTAGTTATAACAGATCTACTATAAATAGGCATTTTGATAGCAAATGATAGGAGAGGAGAATAAACTTGAATAATTAAAACAGAATCAAATGCCTTAGTTTCATTTTACTTTCATAAACATTTTTCATTCATTTCTAAAGTAATTAATTTAAATCCTCGTATAAAGTAAAAATATTGATAGATCTCATCAAAAATCCATCTAAACAAACGAAAATAAGGTGTGATAACGAAAAACAAAAATTGGCTAGAATTTTTAAAATAGATAATACTAGTCCTTGTAGATTATGATGAGACATTGAATTGTATTAAGCAAGCATCATAGTAAATTATAATATAGCTTTTAGAAGTTTTTATTCATAGGCAAAAGAACAGAGATTTTTTTCGAAAATGTTTGATATATTTATTAAATGATATTTTTTGGTTATGCACTGGAAGGAATCCGAAGAATATGACACCAATGTGCATAATTTGAAGAACGATTTGGAAATCATGTTAAGATTTTGATAATTATTTTTGTGACATGAATAAATTTGAGGATGGCAAGAGTTCATTGATGATAAAATGAATATTTCTTGGATTTGTGTCCTTTTATACTTCACAAATCTATCATTTTCGTGTCATGCATATGAAAGGAAAAACATTCAAAGAATTTATGAAGTGAAAATAACATCGATGTCCGTTTCTGGAACGAGGTCGGATTAGAAAAGAATCAACTAGTTCAAACCTGAATTCTGTCCAACTTTCACATGAGAAAAGAGTTGTTGCTTTATTTTTCATCTGTTTGATTCACTTGAAAGATAGATCTTTGATTAAAACTAATCTGTAAACTTTTTTGATACAAAATGTGAAAGTATTATTTAAATCAATCGATGACTATACATATTTGTGATCTAGATAATTAGTTTCTTATTCACAGATATAAAATTATAGGTTCTTACTGAAACAAGAATGAACACAACTCGATGACACTCTAGTGTCGAGTCGATCCGTGATATAGATCTGTGTGAACTTAGATGATCTTCGACATGTGCCAAAAATCCGTTCGAAAGAGTCTGTCTTTTTTAGTCAACACTGGCTTTCAAATCGAAGAGAACTGATAGTACACTATGGCATTACCTTAAAAACTGTAAAGCATTTGAACACATTCAAAAACGATATTCTCAGCTTTTCAATATTCCCATATTCATATTTTTCCACATGCTACCAAAATATACAGAACTCTCAAGCTATAATGACGATGAACTGTGCACAAATGGATAGTTTTTGTTTACCTAACTTATCCCATTTATAACAATAGTTTGTCTTTGTTTGTTATTATTAAGCTCATTCTCTGATATTATTTTCTTTATTATCAATTCTTAAGAGAAGAAGCATTCGAAAAAATTTTAAAAAGTACTATTCGAATGATATGAATGGATAGCGATTAATTTGTTATTTTTAACTTAATATTCACAAATGCATTTATTTTTCTTTTAGTGATATACATACGTGTTATCTGTAGAATAAATACTTGAACTTTAGTAGAAAAATGTTATACATATTGTCTTTGCATAGTTGCTCAAACTTAGTATAGTGAAGAAAAGGTATTATATTTTATTTAGTGATGTAATGCCATTACAAGAGACAACTATTTAAAATACAACTACTTTTGTAAAGACCTGTTTCACTAGATTTCAGATTCATCTTTTATTCAAACATTGAAAAAGCAATTTTAGGGACGTTGCTGTCAGCGAGTTGATTAAGCGTAAAGCTACAAGTAATACTTCTTTTTATTCAAAACTTGCTAAGGTAGACTAGATTTGAACAGATAGCATCTGCGAATCATCCAAATTTCTTGTTTAAAGTAGACTGTAATTAACATTGAAAATAATAATAATTATCACAGTTGATATGAGAATTAAGTGCAGTTTGGAATGCTAGAATTACTTCTAAGAAATTCTCTTAGAAATGACAACTAGAATGGAATAGTCGTATGAAGAAGATGAACTCGATGGCGTAGCGAGGAGTTCAAATAATAAGGATGTATCAAACACAAAACAAATACAAAAATTCTAGTTTTTTTTTGTTGCTTTGTGTTGATGATATTATAAACAACAAATAATTGTTCTCGTATATACATTTTAGTTGCTGTTACATAGAAACAGATAATGATTGTATTACTTTTGCAGAGTCAGTATAGAGTTCTTCCTCTATTTTCGCCAGTTTAAGTAATTTTTTTTTGTTGCTTTTTTTGTTTGATAAAATTTACTGTCTTTGTCGTTGCTGTTTTGATAATATACAATATATATAGTAATATCAGAAGAAAGAAAAAGTGATATAGTGTATTATATGGAAAGGTCCAATCGAAAGTACACCAAGAATAACTTTGAATCATATCCTATTGACTATGCTACTCTTTAATCATGCAATAATTTCCTACTGATATAAATAAATACTTTAGAAAAAAAAGAACGTTTTTTTTTCAAATATTTTCATCATTCATTCAATGTACTCATATTCCTGCAATAAAATAACTACATCCAAAATTTCATCAAATATTCAATAACTGTGTCCTAGAAATAAAATAAAATACTGTTGAAATGTATTCAGTATTCAATAAAAAAAAAACTATGATGAAATTATTATTGTTCATATGTAACATAGTAATCTGACATTGATTCTTATTATCACGTTGTTTTTTTCTTTTTGAAAACTTGTGTTTGATTGCCTCAGAATCTCAATCAGTACGATCATTATAACTAACTCATAAGTGATAAAATCCGAACTATTGTATCGGAATAATAATAATAAGTTCTACTTCTTCTTATATCATATGAAAATGAGTAGGTTATTTCATATAAGTCTATAATGATAGATGATTCCCGTTTCCAGAAGGAAACGAGAGTGGACAAAACTCGACGTCACTGCAATGTCAAGAGGATCTCGTGGCATGAAAGTTCGAATGAACTCGGGTAATCTCTGGCATATACTGAAATCCGATCAAAGGAGCTTGACTTTTTTCAGACCGCGCAGAGTTTCAAACTAACAAGAACAGATATAATATTTTGATCTTAGCCTAAAAAAGCCACAAAAATATTTTCGCCTTCATATATTTCAAAATTTTATCAAAGTAGACAAGGTCCAAGGTATCATGACATTGAACTCAATATAAATAAACTTTTTCTTGTTCCTTTGATTTTCTGGAATCAAAGTATTTCCTTTTTTTGTGTTTGCAAATAGTTTTAAAAGCTATTCATTGAATGATCAGTATAGGAACAGCTTTGGGTTTATTCTGTATGAGTTGACCCATCAATATTTGTATAGCTTTCTGTCATAAGTACTTGCACAACTGGTGTGAAATAGAGTTTCTGACAACATATGGACGAGTCCTATGTGATTTAAATGTTTATAAAGTGATTGATGAAAGACTCTCGACTAAGTTTTCTAAAACTCAAACGTTTATATAGAGCTCGTCTTAACACATTTCACATACCATTCCTTAACAAAAAAGGAGAAGTTTCGCAATCAAAACACCTCTGCATCAGTACACAAAAATAATTGTGTCACCAAAAAAACAAAAAAGTTATCTACTTCAGTAATATGATATCCACACTGATATCTATTTAGTTGTTTTAAATCTTCTCCTTTTTTGTTATTGATCGATCTTTTATTTGAAAAAGCGAATAGTTCAATTAAGAAATAGTACTATCAGATGAAATTTTCCAATAATGTTTCTGAATATTCAAATCTTAGGCCGATCTATAAATTAGCTTGAGTCATTACTGAATTTTTATTAGTATTAAAAAATCCAAATTAGAATAATGTATTATATTTATTACATATAGTGTGAATCTGAACAATTTTCCTATTTCATTATTTGAGTTTGTTTTCTTGACAATGAATTGAATCTTCTAGATAGAATGTTTCTATAACTAGACAAATTTGTTGGAATATTCTCTATTAGTATAGAGTTTTATATACCAATGCAAAACATACTCTGCCAATTTTCATTCTACAAATGTACGTGATATTAATTCTAGCACTGAGCGCTGCAATCGTTTCTATAAAACTTTTGTTGACGTGTTGCTCAAGCTGTGAAACAAAAAATTTAGGATGCTTTCAATATAGTTCCAAAACATTCAAGAAACAACTCATTCATATATGTGCTACAAAGTGATTTCTGTCTTTGTATATACGCATCAACATTCATGTTTCCGTCATTTTTTATATTGTTTTTAACTCAAAATATGTTGCTCTGACAGGTCAATATTGCCACCAACCCGCACATTTTCGTCATCGAAGCTTGTATTTGATCATACTTTTTTCTTTTATAATAGTCACATTTTATTTATAAAATAATATTCATATTGCAATGGAAAAACAATCGTATGATTGAATATCTATGGGCGTTCGTTTTTTTACAATCACTTTTTCATCATTTCCTAATTTACATTTATTATTTTCAGTTGGTTGATTTTCTTTTGGTTTAGGTAAACGTTCACTTGGACATGGAGCAGATGGATTACTAAAATATTCTATTTGAAGAGTTTCGCTTGCATTTGGTCGTCGTTTTGGATCGAGTTGCACAATTCTTTCTAATACATCAAGTTCATCTGATTTTGATGTTGTAAATATTGTTCGTAACGGCTTAGATGCCATTTGTTTGAAGTCAATATTATTTGAAAATATTTTGAAATCCGGTCAATTACTATCGGTTGGTGTTCCAAACACTTGAAATATTTTCAATAATTGATCAAGATCAGAACCACCGGGTAACAGTGATACTCAAAGTAGTAATTCAGCCATAATTAAACCGACTGCCCATATATCGACATCAGAACCAAATTTTATTGTACCCAAAAGTAATTCAGGTGATCGATGCTATCTTGTAACAACGTCATGTGACATTAATCCCGATGGTGAACCGAAAAAGTTTGCTAAACCAAAATCGGCTATTTTTAAAACACCACGTTTATCACTTAATAAATTGTTTGGATTCAAATCTTGATGAAGTATCCAATTATTATTAATAATATTTTCAAGATTAGTATTCATAAATTCAAATACTGAACAAATTCTTGGACTATTTGAAACATATTCTTCAAATGACTCGAATAATTCGGTAACATGTGAATGTTTAACTTCTTGAAGAAATTTAATTTCTCTCAAAGCAGTTAAACTAATTCCATCGGATGCTACTTCTCAACTACTGATTTTAATTTTTTTCAGTGCGATTCAAAGATTTAAAACTTATGTCTATGAAACTTCTTGAAATAGAAATTGATAAAAAGAAACGACCTTGTTCAAAATATATACAGTAAATTTTTCATTAAATCAAGTATTTAGTGAGTGTTTTATATTAATATTAATATTTGTTCGAAGTTCGATATCTGCAAAAACTGTCAATCAGAATATGTGTATTACTTTTGTTGATGACTTATTTTTATCAAATAGTCGACTAAAACTACAAAAAGCTTCTAAGAGAAATAAAGAAAATAATGAAAATATTCCTGAGCAAGACTACAGAATCTTTCAGCTTGAGTGCTATTGACAATGCCATGATGTGTATAGAAAAAATAACAAAGCGAAGCATTTTATTAGAAATCTCCACCAGATAAATAAGGAGTATGAATTGTTTTGATGTGTTTATGCGGATTCAGAAAAAATCTACATCTTATGAGTATTGACAAAATCAAAATAGAGCGGGTGTACTATATCAACGTAATTCTCTCGTGAAAAATTTTTGAAAAAAAATAGAAAATTTTTATAGATGTACATAATCAACCTCTTATGAGTATTTCTCTCTTTTATTCAGCTACTAATGTCATTTTAAAAACATGTGATTATGTAGTATTGATAACTATGTAGTCATTTACATCTTCGGTCTGATGGCGGCCTTCGAAAATTTCAATCAAGAAAGTTCTATTGGGATTTCTAAACTCACATAAGCAAAAAGAAGTTTAGTATGAATAAAATCTAACATTTTGGACTTGTATTAAATCCTAATTTTCCTTTTCTGTAAAGATTAAAACCAGATCTCATAGCAATTCAAACAATGTCTGATCATATTATAAGGCTAAATCTCCACACAAAAGAAGAATTTTTCACGTGGTTCGTTCGATTCCTGTCACCTGAAATAGACCTGCGATGGTTGACCTCTATATGAATGAAAATAGCATATTCCTAATTACCGTAGTCAATTATTTTCCTTTCTTTGAGATTTTGAAAGAATCCCTCTCACCATAAGCAAAACAAAAAGATTCGAGAAAAATCAACGCAAAAAAGAAATAAAGAAGAATATAAAAAAAAGAAACATTCCGCACAGGGATCTAACCAATATCGTGTTATTCGCCTACTTACGTAAGTATTCTTCTCTTTTCTCTTTAAATATAAATAAAATCACATGAATGTTCAAACAAGTGTCAATTATTATTATTAAAAATTTTTTAATTAATGGATGTGTTTCTAACTTTATCGGAAATTAATAGTTATTGATACTGTTTGTCCCTTCATGTGATAAAAATGGTATGGTTGTGGGTATGTTTGTATTTCAAGACAACAGCAACAGCTACATCCACACCCACACCTACGCCCTCTTCGTTGATGTTCGAAAAAAACCATCATCTCTGTCTTAGATATGAACAGCTACATATTTAATCATGCACATGATTATGTTCTATCTCATCCAACAAGACCGCGGATAATCGATAGAAATAAAAAGCAATATTGATTGTAAATAATTAACGTAAAATCTTAAAATCTTGCCGCCAACAGTGCAATTGACATAAATGTAAATCGACTTTCCAAGGAAAACAAATAAAGCTCGATTCATTATAATGCCATAGATATTGCTTTAAGCATCTGATTCTTGAATTATGTTTCATTTTTTATTTACGACTATTCATTTTTGAATATTTTAAGATTCTTTTCTTTTTTACAGAATTTTTTAAAAAGTACTCCTGAAAGATTTTGGTTTGTCAGCATCATTATATTTGAACAATTATATATTTGCATGTATATGTAACACAATATAGTTAAGATAGAAGAAATAAACATTAAAAATGTTGTTTGTAAACAAAGAAAACAGTTCGTAGTGATTGAAGACAAGGGAAGAGAGAACAAGAAATTTTGATCATTTTTGTTGAAAAATCTTTTTCAAAAAATATGCTGTTGAGTATCGAAAATACATCGGTGAAAATTTAATCAAATATTCACTTCGCTAACTGTTACTAATGATATATTTTTAGAATATTAATACCAGATAAAAGATTTCTAACATATTGATATGTTTTATATAGAATAAAATTTGAGTGATTTGTCTGATGTTTGAGAGTATTATTTTCGGAAAGAAATCTATGAAGTTATTTTAATATTCTTTAGTCTTATAATCAATGAATAAAATACAGCAAGATGATAAATTTATAAAAAAATAGCCACTATGTTAGGTATCAAAGAAAATCAATATCAAAATGAAAGCTAAAAAACTTCATAAATAACCAAATTCCTTTAGAAAACAACAAGAAAAACCTCTTAATCATTGTTTTATTTTATTTTCTTTCTCATGTTCATCTTTTCTTTCTACGCATGTTCATGAGACATAATATCGTTCAAATATGACATAAATAGACTACAACAAAGAAGAAAAAATAACCAACTCTTATTGAATCCTATTATCATAATTCTAATCAGAAAACGTGAAATGAAATGGACATATTAATCATTGCATCTTTAAATTTTGAAAAATACACAAAAATATCTAGAATTATGTGCTTGCTATTAGTTAATAGTAAATTTTATCGTTCATGTTGTAGCCTGAATTAGAGACTAAGTATTATGATCTGAACTATTATTTGATCATCGATTGTTTTAATTCAGTCACAATCTATTCTAAACGAAAAAAAGCAGCAAATAAAAATACTACATGTGTTACGTAACATATGTATATGATCGCAGACCGAACAACTGTGAAGATCCTTGCCTGCTCGATAATGAACATTGACTGGTTTTTTTTCTTAGCAAGAAACAAATTTTATAAGAAAAATCTCGATCACTGTCCATTTTCAGAATAAATTGCCAAAATACCAAAAAATACATTTAAAGATGAAATCTAATTCGAACATAAATTAATCTATATAATAATGTCTAAACTAGACTCTTTTTATAAATACTGACTCAAAAGCGAGAAACAGAAGAAGAACTCAAGAAGAAATAGGACTCAAGAGAAGCAAAACATTTTAGAATTATGTAACACAATGGTAGTTGAAATAAACATCAAATACTAAAAATATAAATGCAGTAAAATATTTGAAATATTTTCAAAGTTTTTCTAATGAGATTTGTATTCTACAATCCTGAAAAACATTTGATGATTTGTACCAATATCATAGTTATTCTTATCTTTTTTCCTCACACAGTTGTTTATGCCATATTAAAACTAGCTCATACATATCAATCGTATATACAGCAGAAAGATGAAAACATCAGGTGAAAAAACAGAAACAAATTAAATTTCACTGAAAGAATAGTATATTCCTATTGTTTTGTAACACTAAACTAATTATATTTAAAAAATTTGTTTTTCACTAAATGCAAGTTATGTTCTGAAGGAACTTGGTGTAATAAACATTGGGATATTATTAAGCGGTCAGTAAAATAAATGAAATGGTCAGAAAAATATATGAAATGATCAGTAAGATAAATGGTCAGTAAAAAATGTATAAATGATCAGTAAAAAGATTAAATGGTCAGTACTTAGATTATCACTCATATAAAAAAAAAGATTGGAAAAAATCTGATTTTAATCGATTTTTTTGTGATTAAAAATCGATTAAAATGGGACAGTTTTAACCAGGTTTTTAATCAAACTAGTGATTAAAATAAATTAAATTTATAAATATCCATTTTAACCGATTAAAATTTTTTCATTGACTATTTTACTCAATTTTAGTCAGATTATTCGATTTTTAATCTATTAAAATCGATTAAAATTTTTAAATCGATTTTAATCAATTCTAATAGTTTTTCTTTTTAAATGAATAAGTACCAATTGATATCGAGTCTTGAAGCATGGAATTTATGTCAAAGGTCGATCTAGCATCATATCTACTAATTTTCCGAGACAAGGAGTCCGAAAAAGCGATCGAACATCTGAGTTTTCAACATAAAGTTTGAGAAAACGCACTTTACCGTCGCCGCCATTAAAATTAATATTTATAAATTTAATTTATTTTAATCACTGGTTTGATTTAAAAAATCGATTAAAATTAGATTTTTTCCAATCTTTTTTTTATATGAGTGATAGTCTAAGTACTGACCATTCAATCTTTTTACTGATCATTTATATACTTTTTACTGACCATTTATCTTACTGACCATTTCATCTATTTTGCTGATCATTTAATTTATTTTACTGACCGCTTAAATAGTAGCCTTAATTTACAATCACCTACACTTTATTTAATCTATAACTTAGGAAATGGAAAGAGCAAAATCAGGTTTTTTTTTAATGACTATAAATCGACATTTGAGAACATTTATTCATTTGAAGTACAATAGTATATTTGACAGGAAGTGCATTCGAACTTGAAACGATTTCCTATTTATGAAATATTGTCTTTTTTCAGTTGAATAATACTCAATGAGTTCTCATAAATCAATCTTCAACATACTAATTACCTTTTTATTAATGCATCACTTTAACTTTAACAGTTGAATATGTTCATTCTAATAATAAAAAGTTTATAAATTATTAATATCTGTCGAACTTGTATGCTTTTGAAAAATTTCTTTTTCTTTCTTTTTTTATCAAACGCATAACATTTATAAAATGTCATTCTATACTTGATTTATGATATTCGATAACACGAATGCAAAATGAAAATTACTTGTCAAAGAAATGGCATCTTGACATTCGAAAAACGCAATCAAATATCATCTATCTCATATTGACTATATATATAGAATCAAGGTTTTTTTCCTTGATTTAAACTAAAGATTGACTTTAGAAGGCATCATATCAAATTTTCCGAATATATTTCTGATCCTTAATTTTGAATGTCTAACAGAGATATAATATATTTTATATTGATAAGGACTATATCTTTAAATTTATTATTAAATGTCGACAAAAAGAAAACAAAAACTATTCCATCTAAGAATTTCATTTGTTTTTTTCATTGAAAATCACACATAAAAGAGAAAAACAAAAAGAAAGAAAACAACCGGGCTACTATTATATAATTTATAATACAAATAAATTAGTTAATTTATTTAGTTTGTTGATAATTATCAATATTTTTTGTCATTAATTGTTGTTGTTTTTGACATAATATATGATTTATTTGACAAAATGTTGGTCGATCATAATCACATTTATACCAACATGATAATATTAAATCAATTAAATCTAATCCATATGATGGTATAAGTAAATAATGATTTGAATTACGTAAATTATAAAGAACTTGATTATCATCTAATAAACTATGTGGTCGTTCAGCCATAGTTAATATTTCCCAAAGAAGTATACCAAATGAAAAAACATCAGATTTTGATGTAAAACGATTCTAAAAAAAAAAAAAGAAAATTTATATTTTGAAAAATAAAACATATCTTTTTTTTACTAAACAAATTGTTTCCCATGAACACCATCGTATAGGTCGACGTGTTTCAATATTATTATCAATAGTTATTAAAACATAATCATCTGTATATATTTCATTACACATAGCTAAATCATATAATTTTATTGTTAAATCAAGTGTAACTAAACAATTTCTTGCAGCTATATCACGATGATATATATGTAAGGATTCTAAATATGTTAATGCTGATGATATTTGTGAACCAAAAAATATAGTTGTTGCATATAAACTATCATTCATTTGTTGTTCTTGTTTATAATGTTGTAGATATTGATAAAGATCAATACTTGTTAAATGTAATGATTCTGTTAATAATGATATTGTTGGTTCTGAACAAAAACCATATGAATGTATTATATTTGGATGACAAAGTGATGTTAATAGACTTATTTCATTAAAAAATGATATTCTAATTTTTCAAAAAACAAAAAAAAACAATAAGAAAAAATTTACAGTGGCACCCAAAATTATCCGACAAGGTGTAATTTGCGTCTTATTCGGTAACTGTAAGTGCTGAAAGAAATCCAAATAGTGATTTGGATAGAGGAAATTGTTTCCAACACGAATCTGAGAAAATAAGGATCATGACTTTTTTTTCAAAAAACCAAAAATCTAATTTTTCAACACCTAGAAGCCGTGAAAAAAGCTTTTCTTTAATAGTATACAATGCGAGAAAAGCCGATTCTCTACAAAATGAGATGTCTCCGAGCTTTCTACGACCTT